CATCATTCCATCCCTCCCATTCCTCAATGGAAGGGACAGATGTTCAGTGGGGACCAGTCCCAGGCCACTGAAGACAACTGACAGCATATTCTCAGCATTGAATCTCGGAAGAGTCAGTTGTGCAATTCTGCCTGGACACGTGGAGTTATGTCATCACAATGAAAACATAAACAAAGCAAAAACAACAACAAAAAAAGAAAAGCCGCCCTTCCCCCCCCCCAAAAAAAAAAACAAACACCAAAAAACAACACTGTAGAAGCTGTCACGTGTAAACTCTGCCAAGATTCATTTCTGCAGCATCTTTGAGTAGGTGTCAATTTGTTTTTTCAAGACAGAAGCCTCAGCCTTTCACATCAATAACTATGAAAATACATTTTCAGGCCACCTTGCTTAGAGTCCCCCATTGTGGCTGTTAGATAACCATCTGCCTTGTAAGTGGCTATTGTTACTGTGAACTGTCTCTTTCATACCATTATCTTGCTGAAAAGCCTTTTCTGAAAGTAGTCCATTAGAACACGGGAAAAAAACCTCCGAGCATGGCCATGTAGCAGAATCAATGGCTCCCTTTGATCTGCAAGCTCAGTCAGTACTGCAAATTTAAGAAACAACAAGGTTTTGCTTTGCTAAGCAAAGCCTGTTAATTTGGCTCATCTGCACTTACAGCATCTTACTGAAAATGCCATCTGTATCAGACGTTTTGAAGACTTTGGTGCAATATTCGCTTAGCTTAGATAAATAATTTAGTAAGATTCATTAAAAAATAATCAGTGAATTAATTTTCATAGCGTACATCTATGCATGTAATTTTTAAAATTCAGTCCTCTACTAGCCTGAATGGCGGTGAGGATATTCACAGTGGATGAAGAAAATGCTGGTGATTGATGGAATAAGACTGAACATAGATTTTTCTTATTCTAGTCATGGAATTTCTTCTGAAATCTACTACGTGTGCTTGAGTCCTATTACTGGCAAGAGCAAAATGCATACGCACTACAGGGAAAATAAGACCCTTTAAGTCTGTTGCAGGCCACACATATAGTACAGGAAACTTAACTCCTACCATGACAAAAGAAGTCCACAAAAACATTGTTTCATGCTACCGAAAGGAAATCTTTTGTGCTGATATATAGGACGGGAATGTATACCACCGAAATCACTGTAGATAGCTATAAAACACTACGTAATATATAGAAATATCCTAAGAACATACAAAATTTACCAGTAGTGACCTGAAAGTGCAAAGAGTACATATAACTAAATGCCAAGTCCTGATCTATAAAATCCTTTATGAGTGACATACAAGCTGATAATTACAAAGCATCATTCAGACCACAAAATAACAAATAAAACAAAGAAAGAAAAGTATTCTTTATGAAAATCAAAACGACGACAGCATTGGGAATGTTATCTTTGGGACTCAGAACACCATTTCTACCTCGATACCTACCAAAGCCAAGGAAAATATAAGCTTGAACAGGGTAACAAAAATAAGAATGCAAACCACCACAGAATGCCTCCGGACTATTACCTCTTTATGTCTCAGCCTTTAAATCCAGCAAGCCATTAACTGTTTGTTCTTAGGCATCTCACAGTATTTTATAGGGATCTTTCAGGAATTAAATCTAGGTCTAAAGAAAGCCTTTGAACCTCCTTCCAATGATTGTTTTAGGCATTGTGTGGAGTTATACAAGTATATTTCTATGAAAATTGAAAGCCCTAGCAAATATTAAATTTTCTATTATCTTTTGAAATAAAAAACGTAGATGGCTTAAAGACAAAAGTGAGTTTTATAAATACAAAGTTAATTTGAGCATTAAATTGTATTTTTACTCTCACACAACCATTACCCTGAATCCACGTCAGTATGTCGCAAGGATTCAAAATACTGACGCCCTACTACGAGCTACTTTCCCATTTTCCTTTTAAGGATATGATTGTCCTTAAAATATGTACATAGCAAGCAGCCAAACGAACCGCCAAGAGATTTGCAAAATGTGCTTCCACTGGGTACGCGATAGAAAGCTTGAGAGAGCCACTGGGGAGCACCTGGCCTGGGCAGGCACCCTGGCCGCCTTCCCACCCCGCTGCCAGCCCAGGGCTCCCCGCTCCGCACCGGGGGTTCCCACCGAGGAGGAAGCCGTCCGCCAGCATGCAGCGGATGGAGGAAAAATGGGGCAGAAAACAAAAGGAGAGAGAGAAAAATGAAGGGAAGCCAAAGCATTTTAATGATGATTCGTGTTAGTCATTAGGTGCAAGGGAGCTAGTCTAGCATCACTCTATTGGTTTCTCAATACAGACATGCCACAATGCAAACAAAATGCATATGATGAATAATTTGCCACATACAAGTCCTGTAGAGATGGTAGCCAATATCTTCTAGTGGTTTTAAAGATGCACCACTCCTACTACCTGTACTCGGTGCTTCTGGTTTTTATGGTACTACCCCAAGCTCACCACGTCCTCCCTCCCGCTCAACGTCCGGTACCCTATAGAATCTCTCTGCACAATTTGTCCTTACAACAAAACGGGGAATTATGATTTTTCTGCAGAGTTGGCATGCAAGGAAAGATGAGTCCCTTACAGTCAAACGAAAACAGAACAGAAAAAGGAATGTCAGGTTTAGGGCTGAGGACCAGGATAATATTCCATGCTCTGTACAGTCATCCTTTTGAGGGTATTTCAGCTTGAACTTTCTAAAATGCACAAGCAGAGTCAGGCCAAATGCAAATCCCTTTCTCAGGTGAAGGAAATCACCGCCAGCGTGTTCAGAGACAGATCTACAGCACATGCCCTCAGCCTGCGCGTGGGAGCGTGCACGCGTGGCTGTGTTCCCGTGAGCGTGCACGGGTGTGTGCCTTCGCCCGGGTGCGTGTACCCTGGGAGGAGGTGCGTTCTGACCACACATGCATATGTACAACACATCTGTGTGAGCAGGCATGTAGAAAACCACACACATATACATTAGAAAGAAAACATATAAAATAATCTCCTTTGAAGTGTATTAAGGTTCTTACTCAAACCATGAAAACAGGGACTGTTTTCTAACTAACGCTTTCTCCCTCTTCACTGGGGCATTGCAATTCGGTATTAAATCCTGCAGTAATTTCAGAACTAGATGCCAATTTTACCCTTGCGACTATAAGGTCATTTCCCCAGTGAACCACACATATACACACATACAATTCTTATTGTGGTATTGCCTGGCTTTTTATGGTTTATCTATAACCTTAATATCCTTCAAATGTATATTCTGTATATTTATTTTCCTTTTTTCTTTCAATTTAAGAGACAATAAAACCAACTGCTATGTAAGATCAGACCCATTAGCTTCAATGATGTGAATTTAGGATTCTCTGCATAATATAGACAAGTATATTTTTAAAATGTATATTATTTTTCAGATACACTGGAGTATATATTTTATATTAACTGTGGTCTGATGATTAAATACTTATATCAAAATATTTTGTAAATAGATAACATTTACCTTTAGACTTCAGTGATTTTTGGAGCTTTTTCAGTGTATCATAAAAATACGTCCTCAGGCACATTAAAACCCTATTAAATTTCTTTGAAATGTTGTCAATGCCCATGTACAGTAGCCACTATTCAAAAATGCCCTGGCCATTAATACATTTCTCATTAGATCCAAGCTCATCAGACCATTTTATGTATCACTAGATTACCATATTTCTTTTTCTCTCTTAAAGTAAAATTATTCTGACGTTATTAAGAATGAAAATAAAAAGCAACGAGAACCCAAACTTTCTTTAAATAGTCAAAAACTAATTTTATATATTTTAAAAAATAATAATTAAAAAACACGTTTCTTTCCTGGGTTCCTTCTCTGTAAGGTTTAAGCCCAGAGCAACTTTGTCTAAACCCCTGAAAATAGAGGTTTGCAGTGGCAATGCTGTCAGAACTTCAGCTCTGACCCATGGAATGTGCCACTGGAATAAAATCAGCACTTTAGACTTATTTATCTGGGGATGCATGAGCCCATACAAAACAGGGTTTTGCTCTAATTTAAGGTACTTACACGAAGTTCTATCATTTTAGAACTGTAAAATTATCTACCTATAAAAACTAACTCTTGCTTAAACTCTAGATAATACAGACGGGTGATTTTTTTTTTTTTAATAAAAAATCTGTAGCATTGAGTAAACCTGCTAAAATATGTATATATTTACACATGGCGAGCAAGTTATTGTATAAATGTGAACAGTGTGTATATATTGGCATTTAGTAAAACTTCCCTGAACCTGATCGTATGCATTATTGGACAAGTATTGATGTAAACATCTGAACCTACGTCAGGTGTCTCTGTTACCCATTTACATTAGACCAGATCAAAACCAACCAGACAGACAGACAAACAAAAATATGTTTTTCTGTTAGACAAGTCCACCTAACTCTTTAGCTACTGCACACAAGTCAATCAAGTCTGCTGCTGAGCAGTGCTTTCGTTCCTACAGCAGGTAAAATACCTGTTAGGTTGGTTGGTTTTTTTCTTGGCATTTTTTTCCAACATCTTGTAGAGCAAACACCGTTTTCGGAGCCAGGCGCCCACCCTCCACTCCTCCCCAGAAATGATTAAAAGATAAGTGTATTGGAGAACCTCTTGTGTCGCTCCTCTTGTGACTCTGTTCCCTTGAAGAACTCATGGCACTGCTTTGCATGAGGAAGGATGCTCATTTAGGTTCAAATTCCAAGTCCTGCTTCCAAAAAGGCATGTAAAAATGAACCTCCCCAGTGTTTAGTGCTGCAGAAAAAAGATACAAATGTAAAAAAAAGTGCTCAAAAAGACGTCGACTTTTTATATTCAGCCATACAGTCTAGTAAGAAGGGATTCAGAAGTGCAGGCCCTTGGAGTACAGTGAAGTAAGCCTTTTAGGTGCCTTTCTTCAGGTGATGTAAAACTAATTCATTATCTGTGGTCTCCTATGCAAACTTTCACACACTGACCTTGCCGTCCGTCTTTGTCTCCACCTCTTATTCAACTACTTTTTGGCACTGTCCTGGTATGTGGCAGCTTTCACTGTTGTCCCTGCTAAGCCCCTGTTACTGACCCGGCGTACCAGTACTTTAGAGACAGGGATTTTTGTTCTGTGCATCTCACTTTTGGCCAGGTGATGGTGTGCGACATGATGGCTGTTACTGGCGTCTGCTCCATGGCTGGCAGAATGCGACGAAAGGTGTTTAATGCTGATGGGTATCTTGGAGTCCTTCAATGTGCTTGAGGGTGTTTTCAGTGAACACGTGGTTGTTATTGGAGACACAGGCTTGGAGCGTGGCATGCAAGTGACCTGTTCCTCCGCAGGCCCCGCTGGTGGGTTCTCATCTGGCTCGGTGTAGAGATCGTAGAGAGCATCCCCACTGTAGCTGTCCCTGGGAATGGTCTCCTTCTGGATGCTTGTGGAACCATCTTCCTCAGGACCAGGGGTGGTAGAATCCCAGTAGCCCTCGTCACTGTTTGGGATGCCTTCGTGCTGCTCTTTCTCCCTGCCCTTCTGCTCCTCTTTGTGGTTGGGGTGAACGGGGATCTGGTGGAGGCCACCACGTTTCACTGCCACCCTGTTCTGGGGCCCCTCAGTACCTCGGTTCTCCTTCAACCCCTCGGGCTTCTTTGTGCCTCCTCCACCTCCTCCTCCTTCTGTCTGGGTCTCCTCTGTCTGTGACAGCATATCCCAGAACTCCTGCAGGCAGGTGTCATCCACCTGGTCCGGGCTGGCCATCTCCTCCCCTCCTCCCTGGTGGGCCACCATGGGGGGCTGCTTCTTGGAGGCACCCATCTTGCCGGCCCCGGGGGTGCTCTTCTCGCAGCCGCCACTCCCGCCGCCCACATCCTCCTCATGGTCCGCAATAATATCTCCGCAGCCTGTAAGAGAGTCAAAGCTTTTCAGTGAAGTCACGTCAGCAAACATCAAACAAATACGATCAATCGATTGCTCTGAGGGTGGATCAACAGAGGAAGGGTCAGGGGCGGCTGCCGTCTCTTGACCGCTATCACAGTGAGGTTCAACAGGGGGAATAGTCGTTATTGGAATGTCACCTGTTATGGCCGCATCCTTCGCAGTCCCAACCTCTCCGGCGCCCGGGTCCGGTCGCTCGTGGCTGAGCTCCTCGGGTCGCCTTCCAGCAGCGGCAGAGTCCTCCCCGGGGGGGACACCGCTGTCCCGCGACTCCCCACCTCCCGCTTCGGGCTCCTCGGCCGAGACGTGCGCCTCTCCGCCGCGCTTCTCCCGCGGCGGTTCCGGCCCGATGTCTCCTCCTGCGCCGCTCGGAGTTTCAGACAAAGGTTTCGGCGTCTCCTCTTTGATGCACTCCAGGCTGGCGGTCAAAGACCCCGGCATGATAAGCCCGGACTGGATCTCCGAGCTTTCCCCCCTCTCCTCCTTGCCGTTTTTATCCTTTTTATGCCACCGCATGCTGCTGAAGATCCCTTTCAGCCCCTTCTTTTGTCTGCCGCCAGCCCGCTGGTCCCCGCTCTCCGCCCTGCCGTTCTCCGGCCGCCCGTTCTTCCTCAGCAGGGAGAAGAAGCTGTGCGACTTGGCCACCGCGCTGCCGGGG